TAGGTTCTGGATTCCAGGTAGGAGGGTGTTATTTTATGCTCAGTGACAAATACTGTATGATTTCACTTATTTGTGGGAAATAAAAACAAGGCAAAATAGAAGGAACAAAACAGCAGTAAAGGCATAGACACTGAGAAGTGACTAGTGGTCATAGACACTGTGAAGTGACTTGTGGCTACCAAGGGGGAGGAGTTGGGGTGAGTGGGTGGGGATAGTGAGTGGGATAAAGAGGCACCATAATTCGCAATCACAATAGGAGTTGGTCACAGGGATGGTAGTACAGCGTGGAGAATGTAGTCAGTGATTCTGTAACATCTTTCTATGTTGACAGATAGTAACGGCAGTAGAGGGGGTTAGAATTTAATAATGTGGGTAACTGCTGAACCACTCTGTTGTGTATTTGAAACCAACATAAAATTGTGTATCAATGATACTTCAATTAACCCCCACCAAATAAAAACAGCAAATATTGCCAAGGCTTATTGTGTACCAAGTGTTCCACCTCCTTTTACCCACATGAGCCTATTCCAGAATTTCAGGAGGCTTCTCAGTCTCTGATATGCTTTAGTTATTTGTATGTCAAATTACATATGACTGCCTTTTTCAAAGTGCCATGTCAAAGTCATGCTAGTTAAATGCAACAATTCTCTTTTTCAGACACCCAGGGAAGTCTGTCTTCTCTCCTCATGAGTTCCTCAAATCGTAGACACTCACTAAGAAAGGCAGCAGTTTTTGATGATTCTCCAGGCCCATAGCCAAATTTCTAGTTGGATCCTCTCCTTTTAACCCTTAATGGCTTCATCACGCATTATACAAACCCTCAAGCTTCTGCTAAGAAAACCAAAAAAGAAACAAAAAAAGCTTTGGCAGGTTTTCTATTCACCCAGAGAATTCTTTAAGGAGTTCTCCACTAATGTGTCCAGTTTCATTTCTGTCTTAAATATTATAAATGCTACTTAAACGAAACTAGCCAGAACATCACAGGCACTTTTTAAGTAGACCCACAATAGTTATTTTGCCTACTGTAATGAGTACTGACTTGGCTGATTTTGTTCTGGACATGTTAGTGCAGCCAGGATGGCTTGGTGAAAATGATGCTCATTTGCAATGCTGTCTGAAGGAGACCTCTTAGAGTTTCTGGACTCCTTAATATTCCATCCCCATTTAACACTTGCTTGGTAATCTTTCATTCAAATTGTTCATGTAAGAATATAATTTGGCTACTGGATTTGAGACATTATTCAACTCAATTTAATAATTAATCCATCTAACATAAACTGAGTCATGTTGGTTACAGTGGTGTGTACTCCCAAGTAGTTCACACTCCAGGTGGGGGAAATACCACATAGAAACTACCAAAATACAGTATATTATATGCTATAAGAGATTTATGTATATGGTATTGTGTGAGTACAGAGAACTGTGTGATGATGATAATGGAAGTTGGAAATATTTCACAGAGATAACAACATCTACATCTGAAAAATTATGAGTTTCTACAGTTGGAAAGTGGCATACCAGTATGTGTTGGTAAAGAGAGTGTATGTCAGACATAAGGAGTAGACTTGAAAGACCTTGGTTTATTTGGGCAACTGTGGCCACAGTGATGGGGTTGGGATGGAAATGTGAAATTAATCCCGGAAGGAATATTTGACACAGATCGTAGATTGGGTTTGATTATTTTCCTGTAAGAAATAAGGTACTGATTAAGATGTTTTGTTACTTTTTGAGAAGCAGCAGTGGATTTTATTTCTGCCTGCTCAGCGTCCATTTATCACACATGATAATAGCACCCTGGTTTTCCTGAGGGAAAAGCCAGTTCTTCAGTCTTCATCCTGCTGCGTAGGCTTAGCTGAGTTCATTACTGTAGCGAAAGGAAAGGAAACATGATGCAGCCATGCCCAGTCGACATCCTCAAATTGCTGGTTATGATAACTGGTTTAGGTGCAGGCATGTGACCAAAAGTGTATGTAAGAGTTGAATCTGAGATACTGGCTGGAACTACTGAAAATGGTCATTCATTTTCCACTGTGGTTGCTAAGCTGGTAGGATGTAAAATTAGGGTGCTTGTGGCTATCTTGTGTACATGAGAATGAGGAAGTTCAACATCAATAGAGAAGGAAAACAACAATGGGAAAAAAGCCAAATGCCTGAGAAAAAATTTGAGAAATACCTGAAGCTAGATATACTTTAGGATTTTTAGATTTGTATGCCAATGTATTTCATTTTTTTAACATAAGCATGTGAAGGATTTCTCTTACTTATAATTGGGAGGGTTCTAATAGTTCTAACAGGAGAGCAGTGTGATCAGTGATCTAATTAAATGTCAGAAAGTAATTTTTAATAAATCTGCCACATAAAATTTATTTGCTACTATTATCCATTCTATAAAGTCAGCATGTTTATATAATTCAGCTTTAATTTGGTTTAATCTTTTATGAAAAAATAGGAAAACAGATTTATTTCCTGTCATTTGTTTAATAAGTAGTGGGTAAATTTTGTAATATAATCAAGTTGAAAGAAATGAAAAATCATTGTCATTCAATTATTAAATGTGGTTATGGAATATGGTATTGTTAGATTTCCTACTCTTATCATGAGGTCTTTTCAAAATGTCCCTATTTTTTATGTTTCTTATACTACACAATGTATTCTAATACCTTGGTGTGGTAATACTCATAATTCTCAAATGAAGAAAAATTATCCTGAAGTTTAAAGTATCACTGAACGTTTGGTTTGTATCAAGAAAACAAAATGGTCCTGGTGGAAATTAAAATGTTCTTCACTGATACAATAAAGAGTGAGGTAATGTTGTGACCAATTAGCTCCTTGGTGGGATTTTAAAAAAAATTTTGGTATCATTAATCTACAATTACATTAGGAACATTATGTTTACTAGGCTCCCCCCTTCACCAAGTGGTGGGATTTTTAGGATTCCAAAATTTAGCAAAGTCTTAATTAGTGTGAATAGGTGTGTGCTTGTTTGAAGGCACCCATGTATGTGTGGTGTGTTTAAAACATTTAAGCAGATGTTTGGTTAGATTAATAACCATTGGCATAAATGTAGTTTCTGGATACTAGTAATAGGTCTATTTTACTTGTTTTGAAAATTCCTGTGTAATGTAAATAAATATACTTCATCCCAAACATTGAGTTATTATAGTTATTGTCTACTTTAAAGTTTTTTTTTAAATATGTCACCAAACATCACAATTGACGTTCCCAAACATCATTTCAATTCAGTGTATTTAAAGGCAATATACTGAAGCAATTCAATATATAGGAAGAGGATTGGGTTGAGAATTCAGAGATCCAGGTTGAAGTCTAATCATTAAGCCATTATTTGCCCAATCTCCCTAGACTCCAATTTCTTAAACTCTCATGTAAGAAAGATGAATGTATTTCTCAAAGTTTGATTTAGTCAGCTGCTCAAAGAGGAATGGGCAGTGGGAATTGAAAGTAATTCTGGAACCAGATTGCTGGATTGGCAAGTATGAAGTAAAGAAGAAAGGATGAGTGGGGCTAGAGTTAGTACTATGCTGGGCTAAAGGAGAAGCAAGGGAATATTACATGAGGTCCAAATTCCAAAGTCAAGCTAGGAATAACTATCTCCCAGGGCAGTGATTCAAAGCTGGTAAGTTGAAATGGAATATTGAGCCATAGAAAGCAATTCAAGAAGATTCAAAGCATAGCCAGGGTAAGGTTATGACAAGCTTGGGGATCAAAGCCATGCAGAGTAGCAGGCGTGCGTGACTTGGATTTTAGCTTGCTAAATTAAAATATTTACACCTTGGATCTTTGAAGGCTATGACTCAGTTGTCTTGATACTTCTAGTTATGACATTTGAGATGGATGACCTCATTATCTTTTTGTTTCACAGTTTTATAAATGAGAACACAAATTTTAATTTTTTGAAACACCAGGAAAAATGTTTTAATTAAATTTCAGAAAGTAGTTACATTACAGCATATGCTTAGGCAAAAAGATACAGCATGTAATTTAGTACTTACAAAAACTAAAGTCATTTGCTTAACTTTTCAATTTGCTTAACTTTTCATTTGCTTAACAAGCTTGAATAAAGATGATCAGATTTAACACTTTGGGGTTGAGAGGAAAAAGGTGTATTTATCATCTGCTAGATGTGTGCACTGTATGTTCTTGTTATATATGCAAGGCTTGGGTGACTGGAAGTGCATGTGTCAGATCCTTTTTTTTTTTGCAATTATCAGATTTTTAATAAATTGAATAGCCATTTGCTTTAGCATAACACATCATCCTTACATAGGAGCAATCAGGTTAAAACATGAAATAGCCAAAACACCACCACCATAACAGCTAACCAGCATTATTTAACTGTTACACAATTGTGTCAAGTGTACAAAAATACATAAGGGGTTAGAGCTATGTTTGATAAATAATAATCCTTTAAAACATAAATAATTTTACCAATGTCTTTATACTAGTTATCTAGATTACCATTTAAATTGATATAAATAGTACATGTAAATAAACTTGCAACAATTTTAGTAGATATTTAAAAGAAAGATGGCAATGAGTCAATCATTACAGTTTTTGACTACTCAACAAGAAAAGGCTGCACATATTTTAAGTCAGGAGGCCCCACATTAGATTAATAAACTGTTTACTTTCAACCGAAAAGTCATGTAAGTATATAAATATGAAAGTTTACCCCAGATATCCAAACCAATAATAACTTGAAGTTATTAACTTTACTAACTTTAAAGATATTTGAATAACAGCAACAAGATGTTTACCCCTTGGAGCAAAATCTAAAAGAAAAAGTTAGACAACATGTTTAAGAATAACCTTTCAAACAGGTAGTGACTTGTTCCAAGGACCCTTTAATTAACTGAGTATGTTGCTTTCCTCCACTCACCCCAGTCCTCAGTGAGGATGCTTGCTGCTGGCTCATTACCCTAGTAGGGCACCACTCCTTCTTTTGGAGACTTGGAGGGATTCCTCGATGGCAGTCTAAACTTTTACTTGGTTTTTGGTGGAAGGCTTCTGGATCTTGACCTGGAACTGGATGGGGAGGGAGATCTGGACACTGAAGAGTAGTTGGACCTGGATGTTTGGGTAGAGCTGGATGTAGAAATTGGTGGAGATCTACCAGAAGAGCAAGGTGGTGACTTCACATGGCTGAAGCGAGATGCATACCGAGATCTGGATTGGTATTGGTGGTGGCTCTGGTGGCGGCTCCGTCTCTGGCAACGGCTCTGGCATTGGCTTCGGCTCCGACTCCGGTATCGGCTCGGGCCCCGGCTCCTCCGGCTCTGGCTCTGGTACCGGCTCTGGTATCGGCTCCGGCTCTGGCAGCGGCTCTGGCATTGACTTCGGCTCCGACTCTGGTATCGGCTCTGACTCCGGTATTGGCTCTGACTCCGGTATCGGCTCCGGCTCCAGCTCCTCCGGCTCCGGCTCTGGTATCGGCTCTGGTATCGGCTCTGGCTCCGACATCGGCTTTGGCTACGACCCCGGCTCTGGCTTGAGCTCCAGCTCTGGGTCTGGCTCGAGCTCTGGCTCTGGCTCCAGCTCTGGCTCCTGCTCCGGCTCCAAGTCTGTCTTGGGCTCTGGTTCTGGCTCGGGCTCCAGCTCTGGTTCTGACCCTGGACCAGGCTTTGGCCCCGATTTCGGCCCTGGCTTTGGCTTCGCCTCTGGCTCCTACTATTTGACAGGTATTGACGTTTTGGGAGACAGCTGTAATGTTTCTTCTGGCTGGTAGGCCTTCTCCAGGAGCTGCGGCCATGTTGGGGACCTCGGGCCCTACCATAGAGCGCCATCTGCACTCTCAGTTTACGGCCATCCAGTATGATCCCGTTTACGGCATTCGCGGCGATCACAGCATGGCATTTGCTGTGGAATCGGACAAAGGCAAAGCCTTGAGATTTTTTAGTAAGACGGTTCCGTGGGATGTACACATCGCCGACCGACCCGTACTTCCTGAAGACTCTCCACAAGGTGGTGGGTGAGGTGTTGTAATTCAGATTGTTCACCTTCAGAGAGGTCATGCTGTCTACCTTGGGAGGAGGGCGGTTGTAACTCATGGCTTTTGAAAGAAAGCTCAGCTGGGGACCAGCGAACTGAGTGCTGAGAGAAATCGGCAATGTGGGAAGGCTGCCAGTTCCCTCACACCTCGGCGGCGGCTTTGCTGGGTTTGCTCTACTTGAGGCTCCTCCTCTTTGTGTCAGTTGCCTTGCGCAGTAGAATACTGAGAGACAGTAGTATGATCCTTATGGCCCCGCCCATCTCCTGAGCCGAGACCACTTGAGAACTCAATACCTTTTTTTTAATATGGATTTTCATGACTATAACAACATGTGACTTTTTCAGCATACAGCTGAACACCCAATTGTAATTACAGATAAAACTGTATACATATAAATATAATTATCTTTGATTACATTGCGATGCTGATTCACATAGGCTAGAAATATTTGTTTACTTAGATACAAAAATAAAAGATGAAAACAAATCGAGAACAGATCATATGATTCGATAATGCTAACAGAATGAGAGGCACTTGCAGGATGTGAACTTTAATCTGAAACTCAATATGGGTCCCCTTTTCTGCTTGAAAAAAAATTGAATGAGGCAAAAATGTGGTGATCAGTGAAAGCAAAGTGTATAACTGAATATAACCCAGATAATTAGAATTTTTTGCTTTCTCATTAACTGACCCAATAAACTATCTGGTGGAGTAAGTTTCATTTTCTGTGGCTTTCATTTTAAAAGTTTTACAATTAATAATTATGTTATCAGTTGTTGAGAAGACATTTTTTCTCATTAATCCTGTCCATTGCACTCCAACAAATGAGCTTGAAATTGATAGGGAGTAGAAAATAGTACTTTAAAAATAATTTCTCATCTTCAGTGAACATTTTGTCCTCTTTGCAAGCCACAACATATTCTTGACACTATAAATTTATATATGTGCTTTGGTTATCCATTATTGCAAAACAACCTACATCAAAACTTAGTGGCTAAAAGTATAACAATTTGTCAGTATTTTATCTCATAATTCTAAGGCACCAGAATTCAGAGGACAGTAGTTTCTTCCCCATTATATCATTTGTATTAGCTAGGGTGACTCAGATGGCTTCTCTGGAACAAGTACTGGGTGTTGGCTGGCTCCTACCCTGCTCTCCTACTTTACCAGAGCTACTCCATGTAACCAGCCTCACAGATTTCTTACATAGTGGCTCAGATTTATTATAAGAGACCATGGTAGAAGCACTGGTCCTCTTAAAGTCTAGGCCCAGGCCAGTATATATTATTGGTTTTGCATCACTTCCACGATATTCCATTGGTCAAAACAATTATAGGCCAGGCCACGTTCAAAGGGAGGGAAAGAGAATTTCCTAATGAAGAAAGTGTGAAGGATTTGCTGCCATCTTAATCTGCCATAGTCTTCTGAACAGATACTTATATTCCTCTCACATAAAAAATACATTCACCCCCTTCCAAGACTACCACCGTCTTAGTCCATTTTAATTAGGTCTAGGTGAAGAACAGCCTCTTCAGGTGCAGTTCCTTGAGTTTTATTCCTCTTAATCAGAAGAAATGTGAAATAAAGAGATAAGTTATGTGCCCTCCTCACATCTAGTGTACAATATTGATATAAGCATGGAATAGTCTTAATTGACAATTCTATTCAGGAGGAGGAATTTTCCACAGTAGTTATAAAATTCAACTAGGTACATGCATCCAGGTCTTTAGTAGAGCCCAGTCGCATTCTCAGAATCACCAGCTGGTCTTCTTGCATCTTAGTTCAGCCTGTTACGAGTCATCCAATCTTCCTTAAAATAAATTTGTAACTGATTAGCTTTCTTAGTGTGCTTCCTGTGCGCACAAGGTTGAGGATACCAAAAATTCTTCTCATTCTGAACTATTCTGTCCCTTTTAGTCTGAGCTCATCATGCTTCTAATAGCACAAATCCTGTCTTCTGTATTAGGTTGCTTATAATTCTTACTCCATTGAACCACACCTACATTTCTTTCCATGATGAGTCCTTATCTGCCTTGGCCCACCTGTGAGGCTGATGTGAGTTGCTTAACAAACTTAGTGAAGAATGCTCCAAGGTCTTTCTGAGATTTTGAAAAAGGATCAGGTAGCTATACTCTTTACGTCTTTATCCTGATACTGTGTTTTTTACTGTCCAGGTTTTTTCGTTGCTCTGAGGCCAGTGTGTACCTTTCATTCTTTTCTTGGCTACAAAGGCTGTCCTAGGCACTCATTTGTCTACTTTCTGTTCTGAAACTGAAGAATTCCTTCTTTAGTTCATCTAATCTTCTCATATGTTATCATATATATTTTAACTCTTTGAAAATTTCTTCCTAGCCAGATTTTTGAGTTCATTACGTATATTTTCTATTTTACACAACATTCCAGGTGATATTTTTGCTAATAGTTTTGCAGTAGATAAATTAGGTGTCCAGTTCTTCATGTACCCCTTTACTTTCTTTGAATTCTTTCAAATTTTAAAAGAATTATGTGGTATCCTAGTAAAGAAACATAATATGCCTTATTTTAGTAGTCCAAGCTCCTTTATCACTTTCTCAATAAAAAAGATGTTAGCTCTTAATTACATGAGTTCCTGAAGAGGAACCATTCCAAAGTAAAAGTGAATTGATGGATATTTTGTCCCAATTCACAAAAATAATGGCATACATGTCGTATGTTAAAAATTATATGGACTTTTGTCTATTTAAAGGACTCTATGCCTTTCTATAAATTAGTTTTATAAGAACAAGTCATACATTCTTCATGAAAATCAGGTTTGATTCATGTCAGAGGAGAGGGCATTGAACCAGCTTTTGGGGCCTTAGATTCCTGTCCTGGCCTCACTATAAATAAGCTGCAATACTTGAGACAGTCAGTTCCTAGGCTCAGGTTTTAATCTCTCTTACATGAGAGAGTTACACCAGTTGATGTTTGTGTTCTATCCCAGCTATAAAGCATTACTTATAAAATTGTTGAAATGTTCATTTTTAAAACTTCAACAAAAACTCAAATTTATTGAAACTTACACGAAGATTAAAATACTAAAAGGCCTTTTCAAAATGATAGTTTGTGGGCTGTGTTGGATTCAATTCTCTGGCAGCAATTTACTCATTTAAAATGGTCATCACTGTATGATTTGGATCAAGTAAAGAATAACTTCCAAAGTGTTAGAGGTTTGTTATCTAAGGGTTATATCCCTGATCTGAAAGTCAAGGAAACACATTCCAGTTTTACTGTCTCTTTTCACTGTCTCTGATTTGGGGCAATAATTCTTAACAAATTTTACCACCTGTTATAGTAAACAGGGTCATTTATTTTGTGATGTGGTTTGAGAATTTCTAAGTTTAGCATCAACTTTGTCCTTGCAAATCAAATAATTTGAAGTCTAATGGAAACTTTCCCATGGAATTTATCCTCTTTCCTCAATATTCTTATTTCTTTATCTTGCACAGATATTTGTAGACTTCAATTTCTTCTATTTACAGAGCTGTTTTAGATGCCATGTTTCTTATTTTCTATTCCATGAAAGGATTAAGATGAATTTGTTAAATATACTTTGTGTCTGCTCTCAACCTCTTTCATGGATATAAGGCATTAGAAACCCAAGCCACCAGAATACTGTACCATATGTTGTAGGTGGCTTCCCAAATAGATTTGTCTCCTGAGAGAAAATCCATTTTAAAGCAATGTTTACAAATGTAACTCAATAACTTCATTTTTTGAGTTTTGTCCCCAAATTGCTCAAATTTCTTATGATTTTAGAGTTTGTAAACCAGAGTTCTAAAGCCAATAACCTCTGAGTTTAGTAACTAATAAGTAATACAGCCTAAAAGCCCAGTACACAATCCTGGAACATGGTGACCCAGTCAAGGTCTTTTCAACTCCTAGTCCTGTCTCTGAGGCCAGTAAGTCTTCCCCAGTCAAAGCTCCCTTATCTTACTGTCTTGTTGCCATCCTCAAACTCCAATAGTCAACATAAATTGGGTGGAAGGTACTGTCTTAGGACAGGGCTGTGATTTACTTCAGTGCAGGTCCTTCAGTCCTGAAAAAACTGAATGTCTCACAGTAGAATATTATTCAGGCTTAAAAAAGAAGGAAATGCTGTCATTTACAACAACATGAATGAATCTGGAGGGTATTATGTTAAGTCAAATAAGCCTGTCACAGAGGGATAAATACTGCAAATAGTTCACTTATATGAATTATTTAAAACAGTTAAACTCACAGAAGCAGAGAATAAAATGATGGTTCCTAGGGGCTGGAGGAAGGAGGAAGAGGAGAGCTGAACAGATATAAATTTCAGTTATGCAGAATGAATAAATTCTGGAGATGTGCTGTACAACACGGTGCTTATAGTTAACAGTACTGTGTTGTGCACTTAGAAATATAAGAGGGTAGATCAGATGGTAAGTTTTCATATCATAAAATAAACTAAACCAAAAAGCCCAGAGACTGAAGGAAACTTTTGGAGGTAATGGATATGTCTACTACTTTGATCGTGGTGATGATTTCACAGCTGTATGCAAATGTACAAAGTCATCAAATAATATGTGTTAAATATATATTAAGTATATATTAAATATTACCTTATAAACATTAAATACATGTGGTTTTAATGTCCACATTAAATATATGCAGTTATATATAAATATAAATTTATATATTAACTATAAATTGTATACACTATATGTGAACAATTATACCTCAAGCTGTTTAGCAAAACAAAAGATGGTTGTTATTCAGAGAGGAGCAACAGCATGAAGCTTTTACTGCCTCTAGAGCCAAAGGATAAGAGTTGGAAAAACTGTTACCAAAATTTGTGAGACCGAGCGAGCACCTTGGAAGTGGGCCTGCAAAATGGGAAAGCTAGTCATTGAGGGATTCAGACATTGCCCTAGATGTGGCTCTAGAGCCGGGAAGGAATAGAGGAGATGTCTCCCACCCTTCTTCTCCTCACTTATGTCTGGTTCATGTTCCTCTTTGGCTGTACTCAAAATGAAGCCAAGAGAGCTTGGGAGATGCAGGTTGAATGGGGCAATCTTC